TAAAGGCACCTTTAGAGTTCGCAGACTAATCCTAACTGCGAATTTTGTGGGAGTCGTGATCACGCAAAGGGAGACTGCCAGCAGGAAACTCCTTGTTGTATTAACTGAGGGAGGGAGTGTTTTTCAGACACGATCCATCGAGTTTCTGATGCTAATTGTCCTGTTTTTGTATTTCATAAAAATGTCAGGAAAGCTATGTCTTTTTTGGCACTTAGCTTTAAAGACGCGGTTCAACACATTAAGGCAAACGGCTTGTCTTTTGACACCTTATAATATTTTTTGCCTGCGGGTTCTAGCCCCAGTTTTGCCGATATTGTGAGATCTTCGTCCAGAACTTTTAATAGATATAATCTCTCTAAGTCTGGGTTTGGTGCTGTGATCTCTTCTGCTCCTAATCCTGCTTCGATTTCTACAGGTGTTCTTGCTTCTATTTCAAACTCTGGCTCCTCACATGTTAATTCCGCTTCTCTTAGCTTTTCTAAGGCTCATTCAAGGAACAAATATCCTTCTTCTTTGTCTCAATCTCAACCTCAATCTTCTAACACACCTATTACTGATAAATTGTTCTCTAAGTTTAATGCTTCATCTAATCCAAGTGAGTCATCTAAAAAACCTAATTTTAACACTCCTTCTATTCCTATTCATTCTTCTTTTTCATTAGAAATTTCATCCTTTCCTGAACAATATAATAATGCTTTTCTATTCAATACATGTCGCAACATGATTGCTTATAATTTTTTCAATTCTTTCAATTTTAATATATTATCGCCTAATATTAAGCTAAAAATTGACAACTTAATTAAAAACCTTATTCACTCTACTATAAACTCTATTATTAATTGATTCTTTTTTATTTTAATTATAGGACGAAAATTTTATTTTATTTTATTTTATATTATTTTATTTTATTTTATTTTTATTTCATTTTATTTTATTTTATTTTATTTTGTTATTTTTGAGACGAAAAATTTCTCTGGACTTATTATTAAAAAAAAAAAAAATATATATATATATAAAGGAAAAAAAAAGAAAATGACAATTAAAATTATTCAATGGAATTGTCGATCTATTCATTCGCAATTTAATGATCTCGTTTCACTTATCGAGGATTTTTCGGGTGTACATCAGTTGGACATGGGGCAATTGGACACAGTCCAATCACAAGTCGCTGTTCCAAAGGACCCTACAAATGTCTCTAATCACACGGTGCTGTGATTGGCTGTGTCCAAATGCACCGTGTCCAAGTGCACCGCTCCCGGATTTTTCGCCTCAAATAATTTGTCTTGCTGAAACGAGATTAAATGCTCAATATCTCCCTTCTTTAACTTTATATAATCCTGTCTCGTGCCATAGAGACAATCATCAGGGTTCTCTAATCTTTGTTTCTAAAAATATTAAATATTCTCCGTTCCCTCTTGATTTCTTTTCTCATGCTTATCTCTTGGATATTGACTTTTGTGGTGTTATTTCAAACACTTTTAATAACAAGGAAATAGTTATTATTTCTATTTACAGCCCTCCAAGAAACAATCATCTAGATGCATCGGCTGAATTTTGGAATCGTTTTTTTATGTCCTTTCACAATATGATAATTGCATCATTTGCAGCGATTTTAATGATCATCATTGTTCTTGGTCTAATAATCTACAATTTACTGGAGACATACAAGGGATTCGTATAGAAAGGGCAGCTCTTTTAAACAATTTTGTCTGCATTAATGACGGCTCTCCTACCTGGTTCTCGTCTGACCTTTCTCGTTCTTCAGCTATAGATTTTGTCTCGTCAACTCTTGTTGCGAGATCGTCATGGAAGACTTTGGACTCCGGTTTTGGGAGCGACCATGTCCCTATTGTTATAAAATTAGACGATTTTTCAATTTCATCTCCCTGTAGGCCCTCATTTGCTCTTGGTAAGGTGGATTGGTTTCTTTTTAAAACAACAGTTGATAATTATAAACTTTTGGACTCATCTAATCACACCCCAGAAGATGTTTACTCAGACTTTTTTAATTTTATTAAGAAATCTATTATTTCCTCGGGAGCCTTTATAAGATCTTCTTCTAAATACAAACATAGATCTCTAACTTACTAGTGGAATAAAACCTGTTTTAAACTGCTAATTAGAAAGAGAGAGGCTTTTAAGGTTTTTAAAGCAAATCCTAGTGAGGATAACTTTTTGCTTTTTAATAATATTTCTAACTCTATTAAAAAAGAATTAAAAAAATCAAGAGAGCCTGTTTTAAGGATTTTTGTGAGTCTCTACATCGTCTCTCTGACATTTCCTATACATGGAAGATAATTTCGGCCTTCAAAAAAAGATCATCTATTAATTTTTTACAGAAGTCTATTGATATTGATGATCCATGGATTGCAGTTAATGATGCCTTTGTTAAAGTCGTCCCTATCGTTTCTTCCTCTGATCCTTCTCAATGCTTTGATTATATAAACATTCATTTGTTCTTCAACTGGCTCAAGAATCTTAATATTATTAAATTTAATGATTCCCATTTATATTCTTAAAATAGGAAAAAAAGTTCTAGTGTTAGTTCTCTTTTTTTTTTAAACCTTTTACTTTCGAGGAATTAATTTCAGCCATTAAATCTCTCTCAAAACTAAATCTTCCGCTGGTCCTGATCTAATATCTAATATGATAATTTCTCATTTTCCTCCTAATTTTATTCAAATGTTACTTCGTATTTTTAACCTAATGTTTAACAATAGCACTTATCCTTCTTCTTGGAAAGAATTTTTTATGATTTTTATTCCGAAATTTGGCTCAAAAAGTTATAGGTCAATTTCGCTTGCTTCTAGACTTCAGACTTCAGACTTCAATTATTGGCTGAGCGCCCTTATAGAAATATCATACTAAGAATCATTAATAATTACTTATTTTCAGTATTAAAAATACTGGATAATAAGTAATTATCAATGATTCTTAATATGATATTTCTATAAGGGCGCACCTTGACTTAAGTGGCTCTACGCCATTGTTCAGATAAATGCTTCCATCGTATATGTAAGAGACGGCAAAAGATGAATTCAGATAGAATATCTCACACTGTTGGCGAATTTGGAAATGTAAGAGAATAATTTAAAGTTGTCTGCATTAAAGGCAAGAGTATGAAGGTTATCACTGTGCGAGAAACCGCAGTTGTATAATTGAGTGATAAGAAGACCGCTTTCCTCCGAGTGTAATGGACAGACGAATAGAATGTGGTTTAAGGTATTATGCTCTGCTCCGCATGCGCAGCTCGGGTCTGTAACTAAACTTTTCTCCAGGAGATGTGGACTTGTCCTAACGTGAGATCTCAGCCTCGCCATCAACGATATCACATCCCGCTTCACAAACTTAAGGGTGCAGAACCAAGGTCTAACAGCCAATTTTGTGATTTCCTTCCTGTATCTGATATCTTTGGACTTCCAAAAGGTCATGAGCCAGCTTTGTGAATTCCGACCTGAGGGTAGAGATGATATCCCCGTGAAAAACTCCCCTCCTGATCTTGATAAAAGAATTTTTTGCAACTGACTTGGCTAACCTGTCTGCCTCCTCGTTTTCGCGAATTCCGCAGTGGGCCGGGACCCACATCAGGGACACCTTGGTGTCCAGATCATTAGCCTTGCCGATCTTCTCGATAATTTAAAAAAAAAGTGAGTTAAGTCTTCTCTTCAACGAGACGTTAAGCAGACCGATAAGCGTGCTTTTCGAATCCGTGCAAATAATAGCGTTTTTCTTGTCAGAAGACAAAACATAGTTAACGGCTCTGATAATAGCCGAGGCTTCGATGTTTAGAATGGAACCTGAAAAGGAATATGGGGACGCGATAGACAGGCCAAGGTCCTCGGAAAAAATTCCATAGCCTGCCGCCTCATGGGACTGCAAGGAGCCATCCGTAAATATAATGCAATCCGGTTTCTTTCTTAGCAAAATAGCACATGCCCTTCTGATCATGCCCTCGACCGAGATCTTTTTAGGGCCCTTGTAGAGGAAGTTACCTATCCTCCTCCTGTATCCACCCAAGTCCTTAAAGGCAATTATGTCTATATCCAGGACTTTAAATTTCAGATCCGCCGCAAAGGCTAGGTGGCCAACGAATTTCGTTGCTGTGGCCCTGCGAACCACATCCTCCACTCAGATAGAATCCAGCAAACACAAATATATAACTGTTATATAACTGTGAGGTAACGGAATGTAACATGTAATGTAACATGTATGTTGCAAGTAACGTAGATGTTAGTTATAATTTCCCACTCATACGAAATTGCAATTATATAACAGAAATATAATTTGTTACAAAAATGTTGCATAACTGTTACTTTGATTATTGAATGATAACATAGCAGTTATGTAAATTATTGGCAAGTTATATAACTGGAATATAAATTATCGAATTGTTATATAACTATTATTTCATTTGTTATGAAATAGTTATATTAATTGTAGGAAGCAATTGAATCAAAGACTTCATATTTATAGGTATTACGTTTTCCATACAACATATTTCAATAAAAAGTCTTAAAGACACTCAAAAGATGCTAAATAGATTAAAAACGTCCAGTGTGTGTCTTTGAACGTTTGCAAAAAGTTTTTGAAACATGCATGTTGTGTAGAAAACGTAATATCTACAAATAAGAAGTCTCTGATTTAATAAATAATAACAACTTTATATATAATCATATTTAATTTATGTACTATTTCTCTCATCACATTAACAATATATTTATGTTTTTTTAAACAAAATTTACCGCAAACAGTATGTCATGCTAAATAAAGTACGAAAAACTGAAAGTTTTGTTGCATTGTTACATTACATTTGTTACTCCATGAATTACAAAAAGAAAAATAAACCTTTTACAACATCGTCTATTATAAATGTAATTATTTCAATATACTGTATTTATATATGCTTCACACATAATTAAAATCGTAATGAAAAAAAGAAATTGTATAAAAATCGTAATAAAAAGAAAAAAATTGTTTCCATTATTCATTTTCTAACGCCATAATAATTACAAAAATCGTTGGGTATTATCACATCTTATAATGTATTATCACAGCTCATAATGTGATCTTAATTTAACGAATTGTGCATTATATTTTAATCATCTTTGGCTTGATTTTCTCTCTTGTTTCTTTGACTTGCAAAGCGTAACCATTCCGCTATTGCACTATCAAATTCACATTCTGTAAAAATACTATAGCGTAATATTATCTCTCCTGAAAAAAAAAGAA